TACACACACACACAAAACGCGCGCGCGCACACATTATGATTTTCATTGAGGAAGTAACATATTGTTATTATTATTGTAAGTAAACATTTTAACAAGGAACGTACACAAATGAAAAATATCATTTTAAAATGTAAACAAACGTAATGATATGATATGATAATAGAAGTTGAAAAAGAATTAATTGTAGCGTTGTTCCTTAATTAAATGACCAGTACATGTTTTGGTATCTATGTTTTATGTTTATGAAAGAAAACATTTTTTTCAAGCTTCTGTGGAGTGATGTTTAAGTTCTTCGCCTTGAGCGCAAAAGACAAAGAGTTCTGGGTTCCTTTGCCGACCGCTGTGGTGTATTTTTATGTTCACGTTTTACCGCCTTATGAAAGGTTTAGGTTCAAATCAAAAATATTTTGTAAATCGAGACACCTTTTATTCCCACTGTGTTCTATTGAGAGTCCAGGCGGTCTACATTCAAAAGAATGAATTTGGTGTCCACCAAGCCAGGGCACACAGCCTGTGGTATCTCAGAAAGCAGTTGGCAGTATTAGAAGCATCTCCCTTAGACCATTTATTGTTCTTTGTCTAGTGACTATATAAATAACATATGGTTTAAAGTCTAGGTGTCTAGTCGTCTGATCTTTACAAAGAACAAGCTCGTTACTTAAAGCGCATAGAGCCTGCTGTTGAGCGGGGATATGCGCTATACAAATGCTATTTATTATTTTTATTATTATTATTATTACTTATTTTAATACCCAAGAGCATAAACAAAAATAATGACGCTCTTTATCACTCAAATAGTAAACAGTTTAAAGTCTAGACAAATGTATTATTTGTTTGGCCTTTACAAAGAACATACTCATTAGTTATTAGGTTTCCCAAAAAGCATACGACGACATTTATTACTCCACTGAAACGTCTTTTAAGCATATCGTCTCTCAGATGTAAGAGCTTAGGGTTCGAAAAGGGCACTGTCTTTGGCTCTCGATTTGTGTTGGAAAATATTGTATCCGATGCCTTTGTCTTTCTGCTTGGACGTAGTAGCAGAATCCCATTCAGCCCCGGTTGGTCTGACAATCAGGTTGGGAAAAGGTGTATAAGGAAGAAAATACAATCCGTCCCCGACACTTGATGTCAATACAACACACTCTGTGCACAGGGCCTTTGCAGACACCCAGTGTCACTTTGCCCCTTGGAAAAGCAGAATTGCGCCAATGCCATGATTTGGTCTTAATTTAAGCATAGCGAACTGTAGTCGCTTAAGTCTTATCGCAAACATTAGATTTACCAGTCGTTTAAAATTTCATGCTTCGGTGTAGTGGGAGGCAACCCAGACCAGTGAGAGAATGTAAAAAACAAATAAACAAGGGATCATTAAACATTTGAAACTGCTTTGTATGAACTGCGACGCGCGGCAGAGCGAAGTGATACTGCCATGTTACACAATCAGTTATGACATGTTCTGTTGTTTCGTGTGTTTCTTTTGCTCCTAAAAAACCCCAACAACAACAACTAAATTCAGACTCACAGCCGCTAGCCAATAACTGGTCGGGGTGGGGGGGAGGTAAAAGTGATCCTCGTGGTACTGAATGGGTCGTCGATTAAAATACGAGCCAATAGAGAGATTTTCGGCGATGACTCGGTAGAACGCATGTATTTCACGTTAGAGCCGAACTCTGCAAAGTCATACCAGCAGGCGTGTTTACATACTCTCTAGCAATCTTCTATCTTCTCTCCACGTTTGTTTCTCCAACCTTCTTTACCCCTCTCTGTCTCTCTCTCTGTCTGTCTCTCTCTCTCTCTCTCTCTCTCTCTTTCTCTCTCTTTCTCTCTCTTTTTTATCTCTTTCTCTCTCTCTTTCTCTCTCTCTCTCTCTGTCTCTCTGTCTGTCTGTCTGTCTCTGCCCCTCTGTCTCTGTCTGTATCGCTCTCTCTCTCTCTCTCTCTCTC